AAGCCTTCTTCATCATTCTTTGTTTTTCTTTCTAGTTCTAAACTAATACCACATCTTATTACACATCCAATAAAGCTTTTTTCTTTAATCTCATTAGAAACTGATTTTCTCTTCTTATCAGTTGATTCACTAATAGATTTAGTTGACTTCTTAATAATAGACATTGTAATGATATTAGTTAAAAACTATGTTGTTTTTATATACCTCTTGAAATTTTATGTTTATTATTATTATTCTTTTTCTATTTTATTGTAGTTTACTTTTAAGTAAGTCTTTGAGAATTTAGATTTTCTAGTTCATGTTATTTTTTGGTTATTTATAGAAGAAAACGATTTTTCAACATCAATTCTTTGAATAAAATTCTTCTTTTTATCAATTATTTCTTTCATGAATTGCTTGAATAACAAATTTCTAATTTTTTGTGTTTAAAAATCATTAATTAACAACTTTAAAAATAACTAACAATTTAATATTTTCATCTTAGAAAATATCAAATTAAGTGTTATGACCAAATACCAGTCTTTGTTTTGATTATTTACTCACTCTAATTTTCTTTAACCAACACATGCTCTGATAGGAATAATCATTAAAAACTTTATTCATTGAGTAACCAAGTAATGAACAATCTAAACATAACTACAACATTACATTTTTCAATAAGTAACACTTGAATTCTTATTTAACAATAAAATAGCGTAAAAACACAAAGAGTGAATGGCAAATAACAATGCAAGCACACTAACTGTATAAAACAGATAAATTGAAATAACTTATAATATTGAAATAAATACTACAATAGAAAAAGTTTGTTGATAAGTGCAAGAATACGACTAAAAGCTAATACTAAGTGTAAATATTGAAATGAAATAGATAAGTAGAAGTGATAAAGAAGAGAATAACAAGAAAATCAAAAAGAAAGAAGAAAAGCAAAGAAATAATTTTGTGGAATAAATAACAAATTAAAAAAAAGAAATTGTAAAAAGAAAGAAGAAATAGAAATTAAAACCCTTTAAAAAAATAAAAAAAAAAGAAATAAAAAAAAAGAAAAGAATGAGACCATTAACTGATGAAGAAACAAAATCATTTTTTGAGAAATTAGCTAAGTACATAGGAAGAAACATTCGATTTTTAATAGACAATGAAAATGAAGAATATTGTTTTAGACTACAAAAAGATAGAGTTTATTATGTGAGATTAAGTATTGCAGAACAAGCAACAACAATTGGAAGAGATAATCTGTTAACACTTGGTACTTGTTTTGGGAAATTCACTAAAACAGGGAAATTTAAACTTCACATTACAGCATTACCATATCTAGCACAATATTGTTCATGCAAAATATGGGTCAAAGCAGAAGCAGAAACATCATTTTTATATGGAAATCATTTAGTTAAAAATGGAATAAGTAAAATAACGGATAACATGGCAAGAAATATTGGATGTGTTATGTTTAATGAAAATGATATTGCAATTGGATTTGGAACAACAGCATGTTCATCAGTAGAATATTCTCGACTAAGTGCAACAGGGATTGTTTGTTATAATCAAGGAGATTTAGGAGAATATTTAAGAGAAGAAGATACAATGATGGTCCAGAATTAAAGAATAAAAATAAGAATTTTGATTATTTTGATTGAAATCATTTTTATATTTCTTCTTATTTTTCTTTTATTATTTCTTATTATCCTCCTGAGATCCTTTTATCAATTCAGAATATGCATCATATTTTGTTGCAATGGCTATTGAATAATGTAATAGAGTCTTGTAAAGAAAATCAAACAAGACATATTTAAGTCTAAAGAAAAGAATGAATGAAATAACAATAAAATGTATAATAATAATAGTAAAAGAAATAACAAGAGAAAAGTGAATAGAAAAAGAAGAATACAAATAAAAACAAATAAGAAAGAAAGTAAATATAATGATAATAAACATTATACAAACAAGAAATCTAAATGGTTGACAACAAAAGAAATACAAAAGAAAATTAAAAGAATAACAAGAAAATGGGAGAAAGGAGAATATTCAGAAATACTTAAAAAGTATGAAGATAAAGAAAAGAAATGGTATAATATTCTCCAAGAAGTATATTCAATAAGAAGAAAATAATATAGAAAAACAAAGAAGAAATCAAAGATAAAACAAAAGATTGGAAAAGTGAAGATATTAAAACAATCGAAGAATGAATCAAAAACAAAAATCCAATCAAAGAAAGGAATGAAGATGTAAAACTGCAAGAATAATAAATTAAAAAGAAAATAAAGGGAAAACACAAGATAAAGAAGAGAAAAAGGAAGAAGAATGCAACAAATAATAAATTAACACACTTCAAAATAAAATTAAAGAATTAGAAGAAACTATCAAAGAACTTCAAACAAAAAAGAAAGAAGAAGAATGAACTATTTCAGATGAAATGATTCAAAAAACACAAAAACAAACAAATAAGAGAATGAAAAAGATGAAAACATAAATAAATAAGATTCAAACTACATGTAATGAAATAAGAAAAGAAAACTCTAAATTAAAATAATAAATAATTCATTACAATGAAAAATAAATTAAATATAAAATAGAAATAACACAGAAATATGAAATAAAGATGAAATTACCAACATTCTTTGAGTTAATTATGAGAAGTTAAATAAATATGAGGTGGAGAAGAGTGTTGATATATTGAAGAAGAATATAAGAGATAAATAAAAACAAAACATTGAATATCAAAAAAGTTGAATTGAAAAGTATGAGATTGCAGTAAAAACAAAAGAAGAATTAGACCATACACAAAGAGAAAATGAAGAACAAAATCAATTAATATCAAATTATCATCAATTTATTGTTTATTTTTTTTATCTCAGAAATTGAGAAGAAGAAAACAATTATTAATGATAAATACAAAACAAATATTGAGAACATCATCATCTGGGACAATACAAATGAACAAAACTACAACTATGAAAAAGACAATTCTGGAAATAAAAGAGCAAAACACTGAATATCAAAAAACAAAAAATGATAATAAAATAATAATAAAATAAAACACAATAAATCAAACAAATATAAATTTAATTGATATGTTATATTGATTTGAAATAATTTGTTAAATAAAAAATTAAGAAATAGAAAATATAATAAAAATAATAAATATCAATGTAAATAATGATAAAGAATACATTAATAATATTAAAAAG